TTACTGTGGATGAGCAGCTACCTCACCTTTCAAGTTCATGGCTGAAGCTCAGCTTGAAATAAGCTGTAATGGTCTGGCAATGAAAAGTTCAATTGTAGACTGTACGGCCAACAAACTGTAATCATCGGCACAATGCCTTTTAAATCTGCATAGGTGTAGGATAAAAGGTCCATCCATGGGACGAAGTGACATGTAGCGGCTCGAGACTGTATATTTCAGAGACTAAAAAAGTTTTGAACGTTTCGCGTTTTCACGTTAATAGATTTGAGCCGAACCATATCAGTTCTGATGTAAATGTAACTGAAAGAAAAAACGGGGCGTCTGCAAAAAAAAATCCCAATGCTTTATTGTAGCGATACTAGTAAGCCGCGTCTAAATCTGTTAATCGATCAATCGCTGTCGCCAAGCTCAACTAACGGTAGGCCCAGCAAACGTGCCGTTTCGAATTGGGTTGAGCCAATGTCAGGATCGGGTTGGATAAGTACGAGTTCAGACCTTAATTAGAGCCAGAGTAACACGAGTCCCACGCAGCAGTTGAAGCTCTCTGTCTACGATTGTTGGTGGTGATTGGATTCCAATAACGGCATTAATGGTTAATGGCTTGACGGTACGTGCACTGTCGTTTTCAAAGGTTGTTGTAGGTGCGAGTGGAACGTGTCCTTGTATTCGAAAATATGCCTTCTGACGTGCCTGGGAAGAGGGTACGCCTTAAGAAAACGTCTTCTTGGATGCTCACTGCGATAGTAAGCAATAAAAAATTATGTACTTGCTGAGTATTAGGTTGTGCTACCTGACTGGGACCATATATGGAGTTGGCTAAAAATAGGGTTTTGAGGGATTGATTTTCATGTGCGGTGAAAGAAGGAGGTATATATACGGACACTACAAAGTGCAAATAATAGGGTAGCTATCACTTTTATAAAACAACTACGCTTAATACAATAAATCGAATAACTTTAAAGCGCGCTTACTAGTTTGTGTATAAATATGTGAATGTAACACCCTTTATTATCATATAAAGACGATACGACTTATGTATATACACGACTGAGTTAACATGGACGTTCGATTTTGTTTGCTTTCTATTTTTAATATTAATTACTTTCTGTCCATTTATGGGGGTGTATTACTCGTATGTATGCGCGCGTGTGTGTGTAAATTACTTTGTGTCTGCGCTTGTGTTGCTGTANATGGACGTTCGATTTTGTTTGCTTTCTATTTTTAATATTAATTACTTTCTATCCATTTATGGGGGTGTATTACTCGTATGTATGCGCGTGTGTGTGTGTAAATTACTTTGTGTCTGCGCTTGTGTTGCTGTATATGCATATCCTTTTCTTTTTTTCTGTGTGTGTGTGTGTGTGTATGTGTCTGGTAGTGCTGACCTTTGTTCACCTGCTCTTATTAAATATTATCCTTCACATGCCTTATCACGTTTATCAACATTTATTATTTTATATTCTTTTTAATTTATCAATCTTGTTGTTGTCTTTCTTTGTTTACTCCTGTATATCAATGTTGCTGTGTTTGTTTTTAATATCAGTTTTTATGCCTTCTCTTCGGTTTTATTTTAGTTTTTATTTCTAAATATAAATAATTTGCTTTGCTATATTTATGTATGAATTTTGCGTTTGCCATTGCTAAAGCGCGGAACTTTTGTTTGATTATTTACTTTTTGTTTTTTTTTAATTTTTGTTTTTTCTGCTTCTAAATTTTAGAATCGTCTTTTTTAGGCTTAAACTGTAGTTTATCATAAATTTATTATGTATATTTTGGTGTGTATATTTGTATTCGCATTTGCTTGTTCATTTATGGCCTCTTGGTATATGGATAGCAGCATATTGTATGTAGGTTGGTTGTATAATTTTCATTTTAATATTTATTTTGCTTTTATTTAACTCTATAGTTATTTTTTCTCGTTTTCGCCCATTTGCTGCTTCTTCTTCGTATGTCTATTATATATTGCTGTTTGTGAGTCTTGCTTAGACAGCTTAGAGCTTTTTGTACCAGTAGAGATAGTGTTCACCATCCTCGACCATGAGTTCATCAACGCCTGAAAAAGAGTAAAAGAAATAAAAAAAATATTCGCTTAAGAAAACTCTAAAAACAATCCTGAAAAACTTTAATAATTAAATTAAATTAAGTAATTAAATCCGAGCGTGGGACAAGAACGAAGTATCTCAGGCAACTTATGTCGATCTTAGAGACGGGCCCTGGTGCCTAAACTCNATAATTAAATTAAATTAAGTAATTAAATCCGAGCGTGGGACAAGAACGAATTATCTCAGGCAACTTATGTCGATCTTAGAGACGGGCCCTGGTGCCTAAACTTTAACATTGCAAACAGAGTTTGATGTATTCCACCTATGACCTATCAAAGCTCCCGCTATTAGCGAAATTTCGGTATTCGCTGATCCACTAATTTCTGGGTCGGAAGTTCAGGCACTTGTGCATGCTCAAGTTTAAGAGTTTTGCTTGGTGAGCCCATTTTATGGATGCCTTCTCTATCCAGTTCATCAGACCTGCAGTTACCTGCAATATCACTTAGACTTGGTACGTTTACTGGATATTATTTCCACGAAAACGAAAGGTCAGTGAAACATTTCCCAACTAATTTGTTGTGAACGCAGCGTAAGTGATTCCATAATACTAACTACCGACTAACTTTTTTTGCTGTCACACACTTGAGCCCTATGTCTACTAACTTCTTTCTATCTGCCATGGTTGAAATTATGGAGAGTTTCCTACAAAAGTAATCTTTTACCGACGCTTCCGTTAAGCACCGACCCTTTCGTGTAGAGATCGACCGGGTCCTCTATCCAACTTGAGTTGATGTGAATGGAAAAGGGAGTGTTTGAGACGGGTTAGATACAAGGAGATCCGTTTTGTCGGGCCTGGAGTGTGAATGTTCAAGAATCTTAAAGTGTCCAAACGGTGAGGTGAGAGTCTGACCGAAGCTTGCGTTCTGGGAACTTAAAATGCTTCCTATTGGCCCGCGCCCTGCCGCAACAATTCCAACCTAAAAAGATAATCTTTTGCGGTCAAACTTTTTTCATAATCTATAGGAGGGCTCTGCTCTATTCTAGCCGAACTGAATACATTGTTTGTGTTGCCATGCTGCCTTCTCTTAAGTTGTCGTTTGGTTTGTTAAAATTTTCAGTATTTGATAATCTCATCTCGGCTTCTTAATAAGAGTCTGTTAAAACTGCAAGCCTTTTTGACTAAACAATATTTTTTCCAGTATTATCGGCCTTTTTATGAAGTCGTTCGCGGGTCATATGGTTGGCCCTTTTTCAGGCCTTTGTGCTACTGATTTGGATGCTTCAGTAAATCCAGTAGGATACGTACACCGATTGATCAGATTGCTTTCTAGTAGTTGAAAAGGGGTGAGGGTTTCAGATTCTACCCTTCTATTGGAGTTTACAGGTCCTCAGGGAATAAAAAGATAATGAAGCCTTCCACGTCTCGGCGCGTTTTACTGAACGAATAATGCGGATAGAAGGTGCTCGTATTAAACCGATGGCTGAACCTATTGAAAATCGGAGAAGAATCATGGAAGCTGGAAGAAGCCTAATTTCATCCGTTTACCAACAAAGCGCGTGTTTATAAACGGAATGATTTCTGCTTTANGCGGATAGAAGGTGCTCGTATTAAACCGATGGCTGAACCTATTGAAAATCAGAGAAGAATCATGGAAGCTGGAAGAAGCCTTATTTCATCCGTTTACCAACAAAGCGCGTGTTTATAAACGGAATGATTTCTGCTTTCTCTAAGCCCAAGCTCTCCACAAGAACATGACAAGAAAAAGAGTAAAGGACTATTACTTCAGCAAGAACCCACAAGGACTTCGTCGAATTAGTTGAACTGCCAGAGGGGAAGTAATTGAAATACCGCGAACAAAAAATTACTTACCGACTGGTGCAATCAGCTGATTACCAGGTGCATTATTGGGATCGGGTAGCTCGGGCAAACGATACAGCAGCCAGTAATTATACCTACAAATACCACGCAATTAGATCAGACAAGATGCTTTCAAAAACGCTCAAAAGGTAACTCACCCCCTTGGCTCCTCCTTTTTTCCAGCCAATGTATGCACATAGTGGCCATTGGGCCATTCGCGCGCCTCGAAAGTAAATCTGTTGGAATAACACACAGTTATATCATAGGAAATAAAGATCCCTTCAATTAAATATTCTCAGCTTTTTACCTCGGATCCATTTCGGCAGCTTGTGTCATGGCCCTGAAGAAGCTGGTGTTCTTTGGTGAAATGAGCGAGAGTGAGAATGCTTCCGTCACATTTGAGCCCACCCACAGCGTATATGTATAGGAGACATTCTTCAAGTCCGATTCTTCAGCCGACGATGTCAGTCCGTAGGGCACAGCTAGTTTTGGTTCGCCATTTTCTAATTGTGAGTTTTGTGGTTTTTGCGAATTTTTATTATCAATTGTTTTGTTTGGTTTATTTTTGTTGTTGTGTTTTATCGTAAGGTTTATTTTTGTATAGTTTTTATTTTTTAATTTTCATATATGTATTTGAGGAGTGTATTTACTATTATGTTTTAAAGCGTAATAAAAATTCGCTAACTTACCTGAAGCTGGATCGCTGTTCTCGCGTATCACATGATCGCATTGTAGCGCACGCACCGCGCCCAGTCCCTTCCAGCCAAGCGCCAATATTATATCCGCTGTCAAACCAACACCGATGCCAGGATCCTGCCCATCATGCAGTGGTTCTTCAGTCCAACCACCATCCTCGCGCTGTCGACCCAAAATCCATCGCGAAGCAGCAGTGCGATTCCACGAGCCAGCCGGATCATGCTCAAGGTCCTGCAGTGCTTGCATAGCCAGGGCAGTGCTGCGTAGCGAACCGAAACTGCCGCGTGGATCCTGCAAACTGGCCAATCCTCTGGCAGGCCGTCGTACAAAGTGTTGTAGATGGCGATGCCGATGATCGGTCACAATGCAGCGCAGCGCCAATATAACCATCGCAATTGTGTCTACACCTTGGTCCGTTACGCCACTTGCAATATCCAGTAGCCGGCGTATCTGACGCTTGCGCACATGCGCAGCAGCACTACACGCCGACAGCGTGGCCAAGGCGAACTCATTGTCCTGTGCCGGCTCGTGATGCTGCAGCGTGGCGACCAAGTCATGACCGTGGAAATGTTTTGGGTCCTTGCAGAGTGAGCCAAGCGCCAGCACGTAGCGAGCAAGTTTCTCCAGATTCAGCGGTTTCGGCAGCGTGTGATGACGATCAAGCATTGCTAATATCTCAATTTCCATCTCCTTCACGGACAGCGTATCCTCCAGCTCTTGTATCACTTGCAAATGCCCATCGGCATCTGTGGGATCGCGTGCGCCAGACAATTCCTTGGCCAGTATGACGACATGTGTATCATTGCCCCAACCATAGTCAGCTGCGCGTTTCTCTTTCAACCAATCCAGTGCTTTCAGTATGGCCTCCTGTTCACGCTTGTCCGGGCCCGGTGAGCCGATGATGTCGTGTTCGGGCGTAGTCGTAGCGGCGGTTGTGGTGGTGCTTGGCGTGGATGGTGTCGGAGCGGCAGTGCTGACGGACTCTAAAGCCGTTTCGGCGCCAGCCACGGGCTCTATAGTAGAACCACCGCTAAGTATCGCAAGTGGCGAGGAGGTTGTGGATTGTCCATGCTCATGCCCTGATGACGATGCGATGGTATTGGCGTTCGCTTCGGTTTGAGGAGTGCTGCTCGAGAGCTGGGTGCCCGAGGCGGCACCGATCAGAGTGGGCGCAGCGGTAGCGATAGACGACGAGGCTAGTGTAACGAATACGGAGAGCTGTAGGAAGGCGAGTAACAGAGCGGTAAAGATAACAGAATGATAGCGCATTGAGAGAGAGAGCGGAGAGCTGATACTGCGAGCCATTTTGCTGAAATGAAAGAGAATCAGGTGAATATAAAGCAGAATGTTAGATAAATGGAACTCTTACAAATACAACAGCCGATTAGGGGAACAATTTAAAATAGCATACTTAAGAGTTTTACAAAAAATAATCTGCAAACTTCTTAAATGAGTCAGACACCATATCCTCATCGGATCGGTGGAAGTGCCGCCAGTAAGTTTTCCTACGAAACAAAATCCATTTACTACCAACTGAAAACCAAAACTTCATCACCCAAACAGATACCGATTGCCACTGCTCACGTCCAAAACACACAGTCAGCAAAGCACGTAAAATACATGCCCGCGTCACGCAAATAGTTCGACGCTATCCTCAGCATATGTTCAACAGCAGCACAGCATTTTAATGTGCTTTCCTCAAAAATAAATAATAATGATATCAAACCTTTTCATATCATTAACCAAAACAATAGCACGCTGAAAATATTTATCATGGCTAAAACCTTTTGCGGCCGCGTTAGGTGCTAAGTTATTTCCGTTGCTTATGTCCCAAACATATTCCAAGCCCAACTTTGTACTGTCATCCGTTCATCCCTCCGGCACAGTCGGCTTAGTGAGAAGAATTCTGGGAAGGAGACACACTTAAATCGACAACCACAATGGCGGCAACGGACGACACCTTCACTGTCACTATTAATGTCTCATTTCCCCTCCCTCCACCGCAACCGTGCGTACATCATTCACTTGTTACGAGTATGTCATACGCTTGGTCGCATTGATGCCACTTCCATCATTGTTGATAATGATGGAACATCGGGTTCCGTTTTTGTACGTAGCAAGCGTTTGTAAATGTCACTGCGCATTCGAGCGATGAACGAATAATGTGTTTGTTGAGCAATTGTGGGGTGGAGATTGGGGGCAGGGGCGATTTGTTGGCGATAGTGATTGCTAAAAATACTTACGATACTTAAACAAATGGTTGAGCGGTAGTGCTTTAAGGATTTGTTTAGGGTTGCGCAAGGTAAGTGCTACTTAAATAGAATAGATTTGTGAAAGTAATGGCCATTTTCACACTGAACTAGGCGGTTATGACGCGCTTGTAAATTGGTAAGAGTTCGAGATGGATAACCTGCTTTTCCACCATTCAAACGGACAATTTTATTACTTCAGAAATTCTGAAGTGGTCATTCAAAAAAGAGGGCGAATTTTAAGCTAACTATACAGGGGATTGATGTTTGTGTATTTTTTTTTGTCCAGGACGCCTTGCAACGCAAAAATTGTTTTCTCAGTACTTTCTTCGATACCAAAAGGCGCTTCTTTACGGACGACTTTGGAAGCAAATAAACTCTATTGTCCAATATCGAGTCTGAGAACACAAGGCTTTTGGAAGTTATTTCTACTTTCAATGTATGGCTGAAGGAAAAATTTGTGAAGAGTTCCCATAACTACAGAATGTCTAATAACAGGCATGGCCTATTCGTAAAAGTTATATTTTTGCACTTTCCAAGTATTTCTGTTTAGATGTTTGCGACTTTGAAGACTTAGGTGTCCAAAAATCATACGCTGGAAAATATTAACGAAAAATCCATTTACTATTTACAGAGGCCTAAACCAAGGACTTATCAAAATATCTCGTTGCAGACACTCCTCCTGATCGCCGAAAACCTTTGCAAAGCAGATGTGCTATCGTAAGCCAGCCTAGATGCTTAAGTTTTAGAAAAAAACTGTATCCTACCACACACTCCGAAAGCTAAAATATAGGACAACGACAGTGAAATTGGTAGAGTTTCCGAAGCAGTCGTTGCTCCCGAAACACCTGGACTATCGTAAGCCAGCCTACAGATGCTTAATTTTTAGAAAAAAACTGTACCCAAACCGCACACTGCGAAAGCTAAAATACAGGACAGTGACAGTGAGATTGGGAGGGTTTCCGCTGCAGTGGTTGCTCCCGAAGCATCTGGACTAGTACTGTACATTCAGAATATGGAATCGTGGCTAAAAGTACGTAGAGTTGAAAAGCACAGTAGACGCTGTTAGAGTAATAGGAGGTCCGGGATTATGATTTTTACTTTTTCGTTTTCAGGATCTCTTCAGATTATTTGCGGTTTTCAATCTACATTAAAGTCCATCGTTAAGTTCTTCGCTAAAGAGTAGGGATTAGTTTGCGCTACCAGACTAGTCTTAGTCAGTGCGTTTCTAGAGAAATCCTTTGCCTAGGCAAAACTCAAGCAGGAATCTGCGGATTTGTTGCATAGAACGCAAGAGAGGGTAACATATGTATTTTTAAAATCCTACCGAGATGAAAAAAGTGCTTAAATTATTATCATCGAAGTAATTTGACCGTAGACCCAGAAAACGTAGCTTTTCGATAGTATCGTGCGATAGAGAAAAGGTCGTTGGATAAGTCGGATTTACATAACGAGTAGACAGTAAATTGCGACCTGCTCAGCTTTGTTGGCAATAATGGTCTCTGGTTGGCATCCGATCAAGGCTTGCATGGGACGAGAGCGAAGAAGGTGTTAANTAAAGAGCAGGGATTAGTTTGCGCTACCAGACTAGTCTTAGTCAGTGCGTTTCTAGAGAAATCCTTTGCCTAGGCAAAACTCATGCAGGAATCTGCGCATTTGTTGCATAGAACGCAAGAGAAGGTAACATAAGTATTTTTAAAATCCTACCGAGAAGAAAAAAGTGCTTAAATTATTATCATCGAAGTAATTTAACCGTAGACCCAGAAAACGTAGCTTTTTGAGAGTATCGTGCGATAGGGAAAAGGTCGTTGGATAAGTCGGATTTACATAACGAGTAGACAGTAAATGTCCGACCTGCTCAGCTTTGTTGGCAATAATGGTCTCTTGTTGGCATCCGATCAAGGCTTGCATGGGACGAGAGCGAAGAAGGTGTTAATTACTTCATAAAGAATACCGCTTTAAGAACATTGTAGGACTATGTGTAGAAAATTTTGTTCTTGGTTCAGCGAATTATGCCGCACTGGCGGAGGTATAAGTGGATTGCGCTTAATAGATTTTTAACGNTCGCTTTAGGAACATTGTAGGATTATGTGTAGAAAATTTTGTTCTTGGTACAGCGAATTATGCCGCACTGGCGGAGGTATAAGTGGATTGCGCTTAATAGATTTTTAACGTGCACATCTGGTGTCGACCTTCGTGAGACTGTTTTTAATGAAAACGACTGAAGATCGTACTCGATCTTTCTCTACTGTCGCAACAATCAAACACATTTTTCGCCTACTAATACCAGTCCATCAATACCCAATACCAAAAGTATTAATTATTAGCCGAGCTTCTCCCCGATGTGAGGTGGGCATGTATATAAGTACCACGTATTTTAGCGGATAGAACTGCCACGTAAGGTACCGCATCTGTTTAAGGGTACCTTAAGAACTTTGTTTTTATTGTTGTTGGAGCAGCACTTCTAAGACCCACCTAGTTCGGTTTGTCCATCAATCGTTGTATTCAAGCTCAAGAAACGGTAGACCTAAGAAACGAGNGTTGTTGTTGGAGCAGCACTTCTAAGGCCCACCTAGTTCGGTTTGTCCATCAATCGTTGTATTCAAGCTCAAGAAACGGTAGACCTAAGAAACGAGCTGTTTCGATGGAGTCGGCCCAAAGGGAGAGGGCTGTTAGCTGAGTGGGATTGAGCTGGTATGTGAAGAGATGGTTGGTGTCGT